AGATTTAAATGCCTCTAACTAGAAAATTCATCCACTTGTTATTTAAACCAAATGGCAAAATACCAAATGACATTGTGTTGCAAAATATCTCCTCTTTCTGCTGTAATACGAACATACAACACAGCAAGCAGACTCGGAGAGGCTTGGGTTGGAGTGTCTGCTCTGGAACTTGTCATCCATGGAACAGTAACTCTCAGGATCTTTGTTTCCTCATCCCTAAATGGATTGGGGGCATTAGTCACGGTTCTTTGAATGAATAAAACTGAGTGTGTGTGTGTGTGTGTGTGTGTGTGTGTGTGTGTGTGTGTGTGTGTGTTAGAATACCTTCAGCTGTGGTCTGGGTAGTCCAACCATGGATGTCTCTTCATAAAAAGGTCAAGTCTGGAGTTGTTCAGGCTGTGACACTGCATGTCTGGTGCTGCAGTTCCAGGGGCTTCCTAGGAACCAGATGGTCTTCAATCTGTGTTGGAATCCCAAAGAACTAGGTTCTAATCCTAGTGAAGGAATGAATGCCTCACAGCACAATAGATGAACTTGTCAGAGAGAGTAAGGGCAAAGGGCAAAAGCTTTGTTCTTCCATGTCCTTTTATGAGGACTGCCACCAAAAGGTGTGGCCCAGATTTAGAGGCGATCTTCCTACCTCAGAAAATACAGCCAAGAAAATTCCTCACACTCGGGAGGCAGAGGCAGGCAGATCTCTGTGAGTTCTAGGCCAGCCTGGTTTACAAAGCTACACAGAAAAACCTGTCTCGAAACACCAAAAATAAACAAATAAATAAATAAAGAGAATAAAGAAAATCCCTCACAGGCACGGCCAACTGCTCAGGTTTCCAGCTGGGGTCAAGATGATAATATTCTTCCTAGACTTTATACATTGATGTCATATATTTCATGAATCTCATACTTCACTAGTTGTCATCACATTATCACCATCACCTCATCATTCATCATCACCACTTCTATTATTAGCCCAGGCTGGCCTTGATCCTCCCACTTCCTCTATAACACTGGAATTGGACAGGCATGTATTGCCATGCCTGGCCTCTTCTTTTTAACAGTTAATAATCTTAGATTTAAGTACTAAGGGAAAGTATTGCATACGGAGCTGGACAGACTTCTCAGGCAGTGAAGGGCCTGCTGTTCAATAGGAGGAAGTGAGTGCAGAACCCCGGATGAGAACTGAAGCTGGTGGAATGCGCCTGCCTGGGGAAGCACAGTCAGGAACTTGCTGCCCAGCTAGTCTTGTTGAATTGGCGAGCCCTAGGTTCAGTGAGAGATTCTGTATCAAAATGAAGGTAGAAAATGATAGAGCAAGATATTCAACATTTACCTCTGGCCACTGTCAAGTGCATACACTTATGCTGATATGTGTACATACAAAGATATAAGCATGTATACATGCCTCCTCACACATACATAGTCTTACATAATATATCATGTGTTCCTCATTTTTTTTTAAATAGTCCCAGCTTCATTGCATATAACTTCTTTCCTCTTGGAGGATGTTGTTTACTAATTTTTGATCTTCCAAATTTTTTATATCTTCCAAAATTTTTTGTTGAGGACAGTGGTGCAAACCTGTAATCCCAGCCCTCTGGTGTTGGAGGCAAGAGCATCTTGAGTTCATGGCAATTCTGAGCTACATAGCAAGCCCTGTCTCAAAACAAAACAAAAACAAAGTCTAGTTCTCATTTTTGGAAAGTTTGTTTACTAGAAATAGACCTTTAAGTTGACTAGTTAATTTCCTCCTTATACATTAAGTATATTGCTTTACAACTTTCTGGATTCCATTTTTCTCAACAAGAAATTTCCTGTCAAAGGAAAGTCTTTTGTCTACTGGTTTTAGTTATAATTGACCTTAGTACAGCATCATTTGTTTTGGGGGTTCCTTGAATCTATTAATTTATTATTTTCCTCAAAATGGGAAATATCTTCAGTCATTATTTTTTAAATGTTTTTCTGATCTGTTTTTCTAATTAGTTATATAGTGGAATGTTCAAAGTTGCTCATTGAACAGCTCAGTGATTCCTTATTTATTTATGTCACTTTGTGTGTTTCATTTGGATACTTTATGTTACATGGTTCACTGATTCTCTTTTCACAAATATCTACTCTTCCATTAGTCCCATCAAATGTGTTCTCGTCTCTGGAAATATACTCTCTATTTCCATAGGTTTGATGACATACTTTTTATATTGCCTATGCCTCTACTTAACTTTTTAAACACACAGACTGAGCTTATAATCACTGTTTTAATGTTCTAGCTTAGGGACCCTCACATGTCAATTCTAGCATAGGGACTGCCACATGGAAATGTCCTACATATATCAACTCTAGCATCTGTGTTAGAATCAAATGGATTTCAATGAATCACCATTTCTTTTCTATGGCTCTTATTTTCTTACTTCTTTGAATATCTAGCTATAGGATGCCAGGCATTGTAACTTTACCTTGCTACAGACTAAATACTTTTTATTCCTTTATTTCTGCATGGGGCTTGAAGGTGATACTGCAGCTAAACTACCTGGAAACAGTTTATCCTTTCAGGTTTTGTGTTTGTTTGCTGGGCAGTGCCAAAGCAATGGCCTATTGGGCTTTACTACCCAGGCCATATCCTTCATATTGTCTACCCAATGAATGAAGAGGATTTCTAGTCTGTGGGGCTGTCTTGTTGTCTTGCATGGGTGTGGTCCTTGAAGCACGGCTGGGGCTATGAGGGAGTAAAGATAAGACAGAAACTAAAGAAACAACAGACACATACACAAAAAACTGGAGCCATGGGGACTGAACACATTCTGACTGAGTGGCACCAACTATACCCACGACATGGGGCCCACAGTACAAAACCTCAGCACAGTTATTATGTATAGCAGAGTGTCAGGAGTAAGCGAGTCTCTAGGAGGTCTCTGCAGGAAAGCAGTCTCAGGCTGTAAAAACCCAGGAGGAAGAAGCTGCACTTGCTAGTGTTTGCACAATGTGGTCAACTGTTCCTAAACACTCACACGTGGATCACAGGAAGGCTTTGCCATTCTGAGCCTGACCCTTCCTGGGATGGTGCCCCATAGGTGTGAGGCACTGGGTGTTTGACATGGCTGTACATGTAACAATACACATTCACTTGGGATTTCAATCACTCCTTACACATTCAGTCAAGGTTTCCTCAGCTCCTCACCATGTACAGTAAAAATAGGCACCATTCCTGGCTCTACCTGTGTAGCAGGTACTGCCATATTCCCTGATACTTTTCTCCTTGGTTCTTTTTAACTTAAGAGACTAGTGTTTTTATTTTGCATTTCCCAAATTAAATTCAATAGACATCTTTAACTACCTATTCTGTGTCAGGGGAGTCGTTACTGGAGAAGTCCTTTGATAATAGGCAGACATACAAAACAAACAAACAAACAAAAAATAAACCACAGCTCCAGGTTATCCCGAGGTTAAACTTCACACTGAGAACTGGGCACTCATTTTACACATTTCTTTTTCCATTTCTAACCATCAATGATTTGTGTGTGGCGAGCACTCAGGAGTTTAAAAGGCCAGTTTTCCTAGCACTAGGCTTGGACAATCACATCAACTTTCTGAGCCTGTTTCCTATCTGTGACATAAAATCCATGAACCTACACCCATTGGTCATTCTAAAAATTCACTGTGGTGAGTGAGTGGAGGGGAATGGGGCGGGATGCTAGAGTGTACGGGGTGGCTGGGCTGTGTGTGTGTGTGTGTGTGTGTGTGTGTTTAAGGGGGCGGGACGCTAGAGTGTACGGGGTGGCTGTGTGTGTGTAAGGGGACGGGACGCTAGAGTGTACGGGGTGGCTGGGCTGTGTATATGTGTGTGTGTGTGGTGTGTGTGTGTGTGTGTGTGTGTGTGTGTGTAAAAAGAACCAGAGGCAATGGTTGTCACACACTCTATTCACAAAGCAGGGTCTCTCGTCCGAATGGAAAGATACCCGTGGGACGCTAGAGTGTACGGGGTGGCTGTGTGTGTGTGTGTGTGTGTGTGTGTGTGTGTGTGTGTGTAAGGGGGCGGGATGTTAGAGTGTACGGGGTGGCTGTGTGTGTGTGTGTGTAAGGGGGCGGGACGCTAGAGTGTATGGGGTGGCTGTGTGTGTGTGTGTGTGTAAGGGGGCGGGACGCTAGAGTGTATGGGGTGGCTGTGTGTGTGTGTCTGTGTAAGGGGGCGGGACGCTAGAGTGTATGGGGTGGCTGTGTGTGTGTGTGTGTGTAAGGGGGCGGGACGCTAGAGTGTATGGGGTGGCTGTGTGTGTGTGTGTGTGTAAGGGGGCGGGACGCTAGAGTGTACGGGGTGGCTGTGTGTGTGTGTGTGTGTAAGGGGGCGGGACGCTAGAGTGTACGGGGTGGCTGTGTGTGTGTGTCTGTGTGTGTGTGTCTGTGTGTGTGTGCATAAACAGAACCAGAGGCAATGGTTGTCACACGCTCAGTTCACGAAGCAGGGTCTCTCGTCAGAATGGAAAGATACCCGTGGGACGCTAGAGTGTACGGGGTGGCTGTGTGTGTGTGTGTGTGTGTGTGTGTAAGGGGGCGGGATGTTAGAGTGTACGGGGTGGCTGTGTGTGTGTGTGTGTGTAAGGGGGCGGGACGCTAGAGTGTACGGGGTGGCTGTGTGTGTGTGTGTGTGTGTAAGGGGGCGGGACGCTAGAGTGTACGGGGTGGCTGTGTGTGTGTGTGTGTAAGGGGGCGGGACGCTAGAGTGTACGGGGTGGCTGTGTGTGTGTGTGTGTGTGTGTGTGCATAAACAGAACCACAGGCAATAGTTGTCACACGCTCAGTTCACAAAGCAGGGTCTCTCGTCAGAATGGAAAGATACCCGTTGTTGAGTAATCCCATGTAACACGTGAGACGAGTGAGACACCCCAGTATGTCCAGGGACCCGCAGAGGAAAGGAGGGTGGGAGGCTGTGGGTGCCTGTTTCACAACAAATCCCCTGGGCTGCCCCAGCCAGCGCCTTTCCCGGGAAGCCCCGCCCCAGGTGCGCGCGCAACACTCCAGGCCCCGCCCCCTGCCTGGCCCCCGGCCCGCTGCATCTCGCGGGATCTCGCGGGTACGGCCGGGTCAGGTGCAGTCATGGAGGCGGAGGAGGCGGATGTGGATGTGGAGGGAGATGTGGTGGCGTCTGCACAGCCAGGGTGAGGCTCGGAGCGGGGTCCTGTGGGCCGGGCGGTGCTAGGCGAGGGCCGGAGGATGCGGTCGGCCGAGGGTCCGCGCGGACGGCGGCGGGACTCGGGCTGCTGCTGGCCGGAAGTCGGCTGGGTCTGCGGCTCGGGGCTTGGGCTGAGCGCCCGGACCACACTGTTTTTCGCTGCTTCCGGGATGCAGTGGACGTGTTCCAGTTCGGATTCCTTCCTGCATTCTCTGTGTCTCAGGCCCCTCCCAGCAACTTGAACAAGGGTGTCTAGTCCACAGGACCTGACCTCGTAGACAATTGGTTGTGCGTCCGTAAGCGACCTTAGTCAAGTCGTTTGAGTCCTTCGCAGAGGAAGTTATGGAAACTTGCGGAAAGACAGCTTAATTCAAGGGGCCCAGATTTTATTCTTGGACAGTTCAGATTTTCTCTGCATCTGCTCTTCCTGTTTGCTGTCATTGTGACCGTGGTCAAGGCATTTGAGCCTCTGCTCGCTTGCATGGAAACCAAGAATCACGTGTCCGGCTTACTGTTGCGAGCATCGGATGAAATAATTGTGAAAGATGCTTTAGCATATGTAAGATGCTCGGCAGTGTTCTTTACTGTCTTAAGGATAATGTAGTGATGGTTCAGTGAGGGCTGTTGTTAAATACTAGTGCCTGCAGGACCGGCAGTGTTTTAAACTAAACATGCTCTAACACCTTGCTTTAGGAGTAAGAATTATCCCTCCTTTTAACTAATGGCAGCCAGAATAGGAACTCGGTAGTAGCCGGAAGACCTGAGGCATAAATGCAGCCAATTACATGATTTCTAACTTGTCAGCAACTTCGTTGAAACTTTGTTGAACTGTATACTATTACAAATGGCCAATTTTTGGCCTATAGAGAGGCTGTCTTGTATAATTCATCCGACAGGAGAGGTGCTCGGTTGCATAGAATACCAGTCCTCCCCTCCGAGATAACAAAATAAGGAACATTTAAAAATGTCCACTGCACTCTTAGAATGTGTTAATAACGTGAGGGATCGTTACATTCCTATGACTATTTTTCACTGACGTCCTTCGGCAGAGCAGTTTAAAAGCTATGGTGGGTAGCCCGAGATAGCAACAGTTCTTTACATTGGTGTTATCAGCTGGCTTGCCAGCTTTTTCTCATGCTCTGACCCAGTGAGGATCTTAAGGTGTGAAACGATGGGGCCTTAGAACAGAGTGGAAACAGTGAAAGAGGGGGCAGGCTGAACTGAGTTGTTAAGAAGAAGGGGCAAACTCCTATTTCTGGGTTGACCCACTAGGGAGACTGAAGTTTCAGGAGCTAAGAAAGGGAGCTGGAAGCCTGGCGGATTTGAGAGGAAAGGTTATTTTAAGCTTAACCGTGTAAAGGAGATTCAGGTAGGTGTTCAGTTGTGTATATCAGTGTGAATGTTGTTACTTCTCGCCGTGGTGTACTGTATGAGAAGATTTCTGCAATGATCCCACCTCCTGCGCTACTAGCAGACCTAGTTGTACAAAGGTTTCCTTCTGCTGACCATCGTAGAAGCCTTTTAGTCTCTTTGGAGTCAGTTGACGTGAGTTTAAAACTGTTTGAGAGAAATTGCTTTTGGTTCATAGAGTAAATGTCAGAAAAAAGTCAATAATTTCACTAAGAAACATAAATTTAATGTTTGCCTTTTGTATGCTTGAAATTTGTTATATCATGCCTTGAGACCCTCTAAAACCCGACTCTTTGTTTCTTGCAAGTGAAATACATATTGTATGTATTATTTCATTGAAAAGAAATGACAGAATTAGTAAACTTTGATCTCTCGTGGATACAGAAATCCTCCAAATCAAATTATTTTTAAAATTAAGTTGTTATTAAATTCCTTCAGTATTTTTATTAGTTCTTACATCTAGTTTTGTTTTGTTTCTTCATTTTAAGGGTAGTGGAGTTTGTGGCTTTGTTATTTCTGAAAGATTTAGCTGTAGAGTTTGTATGTGCATGTGTATACTTATCAGCCAGAACTCAAGTGGCAGCTGTCAGCCTCAGAGTGTTGTGGCTGTTGTATCACATTATAGTATTCCCCTCAGTGGCCTACAAGGCAGAGCAGGTACTGTCGTAGTCTCCAGTCTTTGTTAAGGGGAGGAGGTGCTTGCTCAGCATCAACAACTGGCCAGCCCCTGCCCTGTGTGAGTTATAGCCGTAAATAGATGTAACATAACCCTTCTCTTACTTTTTGTACTTACTACAGAAATGATGAAAGTACAGCATCAGTTTTTCAAGATCACTATCTTGATTCAACATGGCGGAGGGAGAATGGCTGTCTTGTAAGTATGCTGAGTCAGATGACTTAACACTCCTGCTAGATGCCCCGAGTGCCTCTTTTCCTTTTTTAGCTGAGGACCAATTCTCCACAGTCGCAGAAGTATATGGAAACACTTCACTTAAAAATAGAGGAACCTTTTTTTTCAACTATGGGAAAAAGATCTCTTGAGAAATAAATTTAGATGAGTTTGATGTAGGTATAGCTGTTTACCACATTTCTTCCCCACATTTGTCAACTTTGATTTCTTCAAGTGAAAGATGTGCAGAATCAGAGTCCACACCTTCATTTAGCAGTAGCTGCATACTCTCCATGCCAGACAGTAGGGTGGCTTAAACACTCAAGTGTCTGCAAGATAGATTGACTTTCCTCTCACGGGATCTATAGACAAAACAAGTCTGTCAATAAATGGGCAGACAAACCATTTATAGATCGTGAAAGAAATAAGCAATGTTGACTGAAGATAGTAGGGTGGGGAACTTGAGGAAAAGTCAATGAAGGATGCTGAGGAGGTGACATTTAAGTTGAACTATAATGGGGAAAATGAATGGATGGATGAATTACAAAAAAAGCCAACATGCTAGGCAGAAAGAATAGTGAGTGCGGAAGTATTAGCTTACGGGTTTAAATTTGAAACATTTCTTTAACTTTCAGTACAGAGAGTAGGTTCATTTTTGTCAAGTGTGCTTTGGGTGCTTTGGTAAAGAAAAGACCTGGGGGGAAGCAAGAGTAGAAACAGAGAGACTGATTAGGAACCATTTGCAATAATCCAAGCAAGGTTTTAGATAGTGGCTTGGTCCTGTATGTTCCAGTAGAGGTCTAATTGGACCAATTTGAATTAGATTTTAAAGAAAGAGTTGTTTAGTAGATTGCATGTGGGGATGGAGGAGAAAGGAAAGAATCCATGATTCCTGGCTGTTTAACTGATTGATGGTGCTCTTTGCGAAGTTGGAAAGGCAGGTGGAGACAGGTGATGCTGAATTCTGTTTTGAGTATGTTTCATTTGAGAAGCCAGTTAGATATTCAAAGGGAGGTCTTGTGTGAGTAGTGACCACATAGTCTGGAGCTTAAAGAAGAGATAGGAGTTGAAATTTTGTGACTTTGAGAATTGAATGAGTATAATCATTTACTCAGGGTGTGGCTGAGGTAAAACAGAATTGAGTTTTGGAAACAGGTTAAGTGTTGAGCAAAATGTCTGAAGCCTAAGAGTTCTTTTCTTTTGTGCATGGCAGCCATTATTGCTGATTACAGGTAAGGGGTATGAGCCTTGCAATCCAGCAGGTTTTATGTGAGGTTTCTTCTCTTCCACTTAAAATGTCATCAGTGCTGCAGATGCAACTGTGAACTGTTTATGCCTGTCTCAGGGTGATTGTGAAAGTCAGAATGTGACCTATGCTTATTTAGTGACGTGTAGCTGTTACCGTTTGTATCATGTATTTCACTCAGTGAAATAAGGTAGCTTTTAAAGTCATGAAATACACAGAGAGTTATACATTCCTTTCTTTCTTTTAAATAGCCTTGGACTCTGGATAGCACCATCAGTGATGAGAACAGAGCTGTCATTGAGAAAATGCTGTTGGAAGAAGAGTATCCTTCATCGATAATGAGAAGAGTAAAGGATTCAGGGTTAAAAGTGGATCAATGCAAGCATTACTGAAGAAGCCACTGTAATTACTAGATGACTTTGGTCACAGGCTTCGATTGTGTAATTTCATGTCAACTATCTATGCACAAAGTAGCATCTTTCACTGTTGCATCTGAGACTAACACAATGTTTTAAGTTTTTATTGGCAGCCATGTCTGCATGTAGAGTATACATGTTGCATAGAAATGGTAAAATATTTAATTCTAAGCTTCCATTTTCAAAGTAATAAAAGCTAAAACTCAGAGATACTTATCTGTGCAAGGCACATAATTAGAACGTGGAAATTTTCATATTATACTCTACAGTTTACAGATGTTATGTGAGAGGAATCTGAAATGAAAAAGTCAATTGACCCCCCACCCCAAAATTGTAGGTCTTTATCTGTGACTCAGCAACTGATTAGCTTGATAGCTTCAGTTAAATTCTTTGAGACTCAGTTTTCTTATGTCACATGAGGATGTCAGTAATTTCACTTAATTCAATAAATCAAAAATTTCTAATTTTCTGGCTTTTAATGATCACTAACAAATAGTGGCTTACTTTTAACTTTTCCATATGCATTTTATGGATATCTGTCCACTGTTACTATTTATGTATGTGTTTTTGTTGGCATGTATGTGAACCTCTCGTGTTCCTGGTGCCTGTGGAGACCTTAAGGCGGTCAGATCTCCTGGAACTAGAGTTACAGACCATTGAGAGCTGCAGTGTGGTTTCTGGAATCAAACTTGGGTCTTCTGGAATAGCAATTAGTGCTCTTTAATCACTGAACCAGCTCTCCCTGCCCATTATTTAATTGAGAATTTCTGCTATTTTATTCCCAACCGATTCTGTTAATTTAAGAATGTTTTCTGTATTGTGAGTTGCCATTGGTTAGCCCTTTACTTTGTAACTCTGCAAATATTGCCTAGATTATTTTTTTAAATGAGAGGCACATATAATCTCCAATTTCCTAGTAACCTCATTTAAAAAAATGAGCTTTTGTATCTTTTTTTTTTACATCTTACTTAAAATACCAGCTTATATGAAACTTTTTTTCTTTGTGTGCATATGTACACACATTCTGGGGCATGTTTGTATATGCATGTATGTCCAGAACCCAAAGGTTGACTTCAGGTGTTTTCTTTATTCATTCTCCAAATTATTTTTTGATCGAAGATTCTTATGAACTTGAAGCTCACTGACTTGACTGGCTAGCGAGTCCAAAGCTCTTGGAATCCACCTGTGCCTGCCTCCCAATGCTGGGATTATATGTTCACAAAACTACTTGAATCCTGCTAGTGATATATCATTTGAGATTTATTAAAGTTTGACTGAGGATTCAGAAAAGCAAAGTCTGCCACAAGGCTATAGAAGCCAGGCACACACCTTTAATCCCAGCAGCCAAAAGCTAGGAGGTGGTGGGATACACCTTTAGTCCTTGGACTCAGGATTAAGAGATAGACTGATCTCTGAGTCCAAGGCCACCCAGATCTACACAAGAGTGAATCAGTCTAAAAGAGAATTATAGCTCACACCTTTAATCCCAATATTAGGGAAGTATATAAGACAGAAGTTAAGTCTCAGAGATTCATTCATTCTCCAGCCACACTGAAGAGAGGCATCAGTTTGAGACTTGGTGAAGAGCTCGTGGGTGGATCAGCCCTATTACCCTGAACTGGAGGTGAGAGCTAGTGGCCGGCTGCTTTGCCTCTCTGATCTTTAGCTTGAAGTTTGACCCCAGTATCAGTCTCTGGGTCCTTTTATTGATTCTTGTTACATCCTGGGATCTTCATTTAGATACTAAATGAACACTAATTGAGTCATGTCCCCAGCTCCAAATGAAAACATTAATGTTTCATACTAAGTCTTTGGAATCCACAATACATTTTATTTTAACACTGCATCTCAGTTAATGCTAATTGTGTTTCAGATGCTTGATCCATGCATGTGACTAGTAGCTACCATATTGAACAGTGCAATTCTAGGTTATTGAATACTCAAGTAGTCACTTATTCATTTCCAGATGTAGAAACAGGTAGAATAAGAGTTAAACATGAGCATATAGACTCTAAATATATTTTAGAGGATAAACAGAACCTTTATTATGTATATATATTTGTCTGTAGTACAAAGCCTAACGTATGACATGTAGTTGATATTTGTTAAATAAAGACTAATTCACACTTAAGGAACAGTTTTGTAGCAGACTAGTTCCAGCAATGCTGAGGGGGTGTTTCTTGACAAATTTGTTATTTAGCATGTAGAAGAATCCTGAACTCTTTACTGTGACTTTTAAAAATATGGAAACAATGGTTCCCAAATTACTATTCATATTTTGAAGTACTTTCTCTTAGTCACTTGTGGTAGAGAAGAGAATGTAAGCCAGCCTTGCTGTGATGCAGGCATTGTGCTGTGTGTTTCAATGTGTGATCATTCCTACAGGAAATCTGTAAGGAAAGCATGGACTTATAGCCTTGGGCAAGCTTCAAGGGGAATAGGTTTTGATTACATTTGAATATCTTTGACCAGTATGCCTATTTGATAGTACATAAGAATTATATGACTTTAATATTGTTTACATTTCCTTAATAATTACATAGGTATTATTTGTCCAATAAATCCCTTCCAGGAAAATTCTGGGTTAATCAAAAGGAAGGTGATAAAAAATACACCAACAGGTAAAATCAGTTATAGCACTATTAAAAGTTTCAAATTGCAGATTTAGTAACTTCTTCACAAGCTTCCTATTTTCTTTTTTTCATGTGCAGCCTGCAGAAAACAGCAAAAGTCATGTATGTACCTATTTTATATTTTTAAATCTTTTTTTAATAAAAATCCTTTTTACTTTTAATTCTGTGTGTTCGCTTGTGTGTGTGTGTGTGTGTGTCTCTGTGTGTGTGTGTGTGTGTGTGAGTGTGGGTGCCCATGGAGACCAGAGGTGTGTCCGGTCCGTTGGCGCTGGAGTTACAAGCAGTTTTTGCATCCTGATAGGAGTGCTAGCAATTGAATACTGTGACTACTAAGCCATCTCCAGCCCCTTCAAAACTTTTTTTTAGGTCAGCTGAGAATTACAAGAACATTCTTAACAATTAGATGTAGTCAGTGGAAAAGCTCTTGATTCAAAGGACAAGAGTTTTTGTTTTTTTTAAAAGATGGTTTTGTCACAGATATTAGAATACATTTATGCCATCATTTATTTGCCAGGAATTTTAAAATGTCTTTCTGTTGGCAGTTCATTACATCATAAGGATATATTACGAATTGACTTGATTTTTGTTCTGTCTGATAATTTAAAGTTTGGTATATACAATTTCATTTGGATCTGTGACTTCTAAAAATTACCTAGGAAAATTGGCCTGGGCATAGTGGTACATGCCTGTAATTCCAGTGGTTGGAAGGCAGAATCAGGATTTCCACAAGTTCAAGACCAGCTTGCTCTACATAGTAAGTTCTAGGCCAATTAGGACTACATAGCAACACCCTGTGTCAAAAAATTCTAGAAAAAGTAAAGATTTTACAAATATCCTTTCTTTTTAATTGGAAAACATGGGCATTATTTAGCATTTATAAAGTCAAGTTTGAGTACTGAGCAGACTTCGGCTTTTATATTTTGGTACATAAGCAAAGTGAAGTTAGTGAGAAGATTGGATGCTTGATGAAATTGGAGATCTTACTATGCTTTAATTTCTTATGATACAGAACTATGGCAATAAATGTGATGCCATAGTTTTATGATTTAAATTCTTTGGTTTTGAGAACATGTTAATGGCTGCTCTTTGTTTTCAATCTGAAGTGGCCTACTTGTTACCAGAGGGATAATGTCTTTTCGTGTTCTTTACTCAGACCCACATGTGTGTGTGTATACATGTATATTCATATGTGTGTATATGTGTATATATATATGTATAAAATACACACATGTATTATTATTATATATATTTTTTACATTCATTCTGGTAGAGATAAGAAACAGGTAAACCTTACTGCCCAGGTACCAACTGCAGTAGCTGTCTCCTTCCCCTCCTTTTTCAGTAGACTAGAAGTCTTGGTTTTACCCAAGTGACTGTCTATAACAGTGGTTCTCAACCTGTGGGTCACAGCACATTGCACGTTCCAACAACCCCTTCACAGGGGTTACCTAAGATCATAGTGAACCAAGACATCAGAAAACACATACTTTTATGAGTCCTAACACTGGCAGAATTACAGTTATGAAATAACAATGAAAATGATTTTATGGTGGGGTATCACCACAATATGAGGAACTATAGTAAAGGGTCACAGCATTAGGAAGGTTGAGAACCACTGGTCTCTAACCTTGAGCTGCTTAAATATGGAATGTTCCATTTCAGAATTTTTCTTTTGCAATTCCTCTTTTTTCCTTCAGGGTACATTCTCCTACAAAACCAGCCAGTTATTCAGTAAAGTGGACGATAGAAGAAAAAGAACTGTTTGAACAAGGACTGGTAAGTAGAGAAAACTTATAACTTATGGTAAAATTATTCTAGAAGCAAAATTTTTAAAAAGTTTGTATATTTGCAATAAGAGAGAAACTTTTTTTTTATTCAACTATTTAGCATTGTGCATGATCCATATTTTTCAATATGTATATTTGAAGACCAGAGACATTTTTTGCATGAATGTTTCACTGAAATCTCTTGAAAAGTATACAAGTTATGAGGTATAAAAAGTAGGTGTGTGATGAGGGATGCTCTCTCAATCTGGACACTTGGGGGAGGGCCTAGACCCTCCCTGGAATGAAATGACAGACTCTAGAGACCCCTCATGGAGGGCCTTACCCTCCCTGAGGAACGGAGTGGGGGCTGGTGGGGGGGGAGTGGCCATGGAGGGGAGGGAGGGAGCTGGGACTGACACATGAAGCAAGCTTGTTTTTAATTTAAGTATATTATTAAAAAACATTTTTAAAAAATTTAAAAAAGAAGTATGTGTGTGGGGAGGAGTGTTGAGTAAAGGGATCAAAACCATGCTGGAGAAACTCACAGAAACAGCTCACCTGAACTAGTGGGAACTCACACACCACAATCTGACAGCTAGGGAACCAGCATAGGATCATACCAGGCCCCCTGAATATGAGTATCCATTGAGGGGCCTGGGCAGTCTATGGGGCCTCTGGCAGTGGAACCAATATTTATCCCTAGTGCACAAATGGGCTTTGGGAGCCCATTCCCTAGGGAGGGCTTCTCTCTCAGCCTAGATACACGGGGAAGGGCCTGAGTCCTACCCCAAGTGATGTGACAGTCTTTGATGAACCCCATAGGAGGCCTCGTTCTCCCTGAGGAGTGCATATGGGCTGGGATGAGGACTTGGTGAGAGGAATGGGAGCAGAAGGGAGAGGGAACTGGGGTTGGTATGTAAAATAAGATTGTAACATAAAAATTAATAAAAAAAGAGTGTGTATGTGTGTGAATCAGATACTGAAAATACTTTACAACGTAGAGAAATGTTTAATAAAATAACCATTCATTTAAACTTTTGGATATTTTCCTTTAGGGTATATGTAACTCATACTTAGACTAAATTTGATTTTGAGATTTTTATATGCATTATATAGGTAATGTATAATTATGGGGTGCTTGAATAAAATTGAATTAATAACATATGTTCCAATTATGAGAGAAGTAAAATGTGTTTGAACTTTTGTAGTCAGTGGCTTGACAACTATATATTATGGTGTTTTAATATAAGTACATAAATATCTGGAGGGCTTTTTCTGTTTTTTTTTCTGTACTGATGATAGTTATGTTGGCTATTTATCTGTTGTAATACAATTTAATAACTAGTTTATTTAGGACAGATAACTTCTATGTTTGCCTGTTATCAGACTAAATGTGCATATGCTCTTATTAGCAAGTGGTTTGTGAACTTAAGATTCTGCTTTTGTTTTTATTGTTGGCATTAGTGATGGTTATGGGGGCTCATTTGTATATTCAGAACTCACACTTACCTAAAGTTATTGGGTAATAAGCCTACTTTTGTTTCTGAGGTAATCAATTGGCTCTTTTTATATGTCCTAGAGATGTTGGATTCATATATCAGCAGATGAGAATTTATTTGCATAGACGCATGATAATTTTAAACAGAATGTTTTCCTACAGAAGGAAATGCTTTGATTTATTGGGCAATTGTTGTGTTGCCCACTATTATCCACTGACATATTCTGTCAGGCTTGGGAAGGAATGCAGTAGGAATGCTGATGGTGAGGGAGTATTTTATTCCTTCTGTTTCTTTAGCATGAGACTATATCTTTACTGCTCTTTGAGTCTGGTGGATATTTTCTGTGCCCCTCTTGCTAGTGTCACCTTTTCTTAGTGTTCAAACCCTGTTATACAGAAAGATCTCATTTACCCCATCCCTGCTGTCTCTAAATGTGTTTCATAATACCAGGTCATTGGCTTTCACTCCACAATATAAAGAACTGATTCTTCAGTTAGTTAATCTAGCTGGGTGTTACTCTTAAGTAATTTATAACAATTTTCCCAGAAATACTGTGAGTTTTAACATATTACCCATCTGAATAACAGAAATAAGCATATAAGTCAAGCTTTATCATTTGGGTTAGATCTTTAAAGATATTTTACTATCACAAAGCATGTCTACTTGGTCTGTAGATCTGAGTGAGGAGTTTTTTCTAGGCTGTATTTAGTTGGTTTGTTTTGTTTTTTGTTTCATTTTGAATTCTTAAAAAGGGGTTAATATGTTGTTGATCTCCTGTGCAAAATACTATCTTGTGTTGTCCTGGTAGAGATTTATATGCTAAATAAGGGTTAGACTTAGTGTCTAAATGTCCTTCGTATATCTAGAATTATGTATTTTCTCTTTTGCACATGAAATCTCCATGGGAACACCTAGAGTAGGGCACATCCTGTGACCCCAGAAGGGAGTCGATTGTAGGTCTTCATCTGTCATTGAATCTTGAAAGTCATTGCACTGTATACCCTCATTTCACTGTACACCCAGTGTAGAGTGTTTGCTATAAGATACTTACAAGGTGCTGTAGAGTATAAAGTGCGAGTTTAAAAGTTGCAATTAGTAGCTAATGTGTCCAGTTGATCCGTTAAGTCATTTTGTTTAGTTTTTCAGAACTGAACAGAGAAATGCAGGCTTTGACTTTTAAGAGCATAGTCTAACAGATTGGATTTCATTTTGTGGCATCTGTTTGAAGTATTACTAAGTAAAGTACTCCAAAGCAAATTTGTTTCCATTTTAATAACAGGCTAAATTTGGCCGAAGGTGGACCAAAATCGCAACACTAGTTGAAAGTCGCACAGTTTTACAAGTGAAGAGTTATGCCAGACAATACTTTAAAAATAAGGTAAGCAGACTACAGATACCCTAATTAATAATAACATTTTGAATAAAGTTACTAAGCACAAATACTCAATACAGACAGTAAGTATAGTCTGGATTGTTTTGGGTGTGTTTTTGGGGGGAGTTGTTTGTTTGTTTTCGACACAGGATCTTACTATATAGCCCCAGGTGGCCTAGAATGATATGACAGTCTTCCTGAATGCTGAGATTGTAGGCATGCATCGTCATCTCCAGCTAAGTAGTCTTATTGTTAAGACTTATTATAGCTAAAGTAGTTTATGCTTACAACATGTAAATGTTTTAGATCTTTAAAACATTGATAATGTTTATGTGTGTATGGGACCATACAAGGGTGCCATGGCAGGACTGTGGAGGTCAAAGGACAACTTGTGGGAACAGGTTCTCTTCTTCCACGATGTCAAGCTTGCCTTACCTGCTAAGTCCTCTGTCTGGCCCAGTGGATTTTGTTTGGAGCAGCGTATGCATGGGTGCAACATAACATGTTAAAAAGAGCACAAGAAAGGCTAAACATTAGGGAATAAGGACAGACTCAGTGCAGATGATGGACACAAGGTGTGAAAGAAAATATAAAATTAATTGTTGCCAGGTGGTGGTGGCACACAACTTTAAACCCAAAACTCAGGAGACAGAGGCAGGTGGATCTCTGAGTCCTCTGAGTTTGAGGCCAGCCTGGTCTACAGATTGAGTTCTGGATAGCCAGGGCTACACAAAAACCCTGTCTTGAAAAACAAAAAGCAACCAACCAAACAAAAAGCTAATTGCTTTTATAGTTCTAACTTTGTCAATGTCAAGGAGGTTTCATTTTTGGTGGTGGATAAGTGCATAAAAATATATTCAGTAGTGAAAGTATAAAATCCATTGTGAAACTCCATGGCTTCAGAATGGCTTTTCTAACTAGGTAGAAATTCTGTGAGATTTTTAAAAAGCAAGTGAAGATATGATGGCTGTTAACATGTGCTTGGTTTAAACAAACATTTTATCTAAGTGATTAAACTTCAAATCTTAATATTTGGATGCTATTTTGATTCTTAAAAAGGTAAAGTGGGGTGTGCAGAAAGAAATACCAACTCAGAAGAGCAGCAGTGATCTCCAGGTTAAAAGCAAAGATGAAAGGGCAAAGGTTTGGGCGGCATCATGCTTAAGGGGGCGTGCTGACCCTAACTTGAATGCTGTAAAAATTGAAAAGTTATCTGATGATGAAGACGTAGACATCACAGATGAACTGGACGAGTTGACTTCTCAATCACCACAAAAGGATCCTGGCAGCCATCTTACTTTAGACATTCCCAATAGTAAACCTTGTAAAGCCAACCAGGGAGAACTCATATGCTCAGAAGGCATGCTAGCTAAATCTTCCGGGGAATATCTTCAGAACATGGAGCAGAGTGAAGCAGAAGCATGCTCAAGCTTGGAAATTACATCAGGGGCTATACAACAGAGCAATAATGGCAAAAACTCTATCGAACTTAGTGAGAAGTCCAATAAACTGGTTGAAGAATCCAATGTGCAAGCTGGAAAAGAAGTCACAGATAAAGCGAAGTGCTCACCTTCTGCAGAGTCCTGTGAGAGTCAGCAGGATTCAAGTGGAAGAGAAAGGCTTTTGCCCCCTTTCCAGACGGTGGAGGAAAACCATGAGGGAGAAGAGCTTAAGCCCCCAGAGCAAGAAGTGGAGATGGACAGAAATACCATTCAAGAAGAAGAAAAGCAAGCAATTCCTGAGTTTTTTGAGGGACGTCAAACTAAAACGCCAGAACGCTATTTGAAAATTAGAAATTACATTTTGGATCAGTGGTAAGAATTACATTGCAAATGTTCTAAAAACTTGATACTCTGAAGTATATTGATTAGGCCCATGCAGAATCAAGAATTTTCTAGAGATCCAAAGAGCTTTCCCATGTCCTCCTTCAGTAGTCAAGATTTAAAGTTTCTCTTAGGGAACCTCTTTAAAACTTTGGTAATCATCCCTTGCTATCATAACATCTGTCCTTGTGTCGTGTGTAACCCTGAGGAGAAGGGGATGACCATTTGGGGGGGAAGCAGCTTCTTGGGCAGTGTTGGGAGGCTATAAGTATAAAACACTACTGTCCTGGGAAAGGAGAGAATTTCCAGTTTTCATGTACTTGAGTATAAAGGAGGACAAACCTAGAGACGGGGGGGGGGGGGGGTGTTATTAAAACATGGCTGTATTACAGACTGTTCTCAGAAGTAGCTCTTCAGTGCTTGCAACTTTGAATGTGGAATGAGCTCAATTATTAACTCAAAAGACCTCAGTCTTTATTAACCTAAATACACTGAAAGTAACTAGACTTGTTCATGGTAGATTATTAAGCCTCTGTTAGTGATCCATAGTTGCTATTAATGTTTTAGAGAGCTCCCCTATTCTTTGTGTGAGGATTCTATGTTGTCCTTTATTTTTCTTCTGTCAAGGGTTTTCCTGTCCTGTTGCAATGGCTTTCTGCTAGAACCTAGAAATCCTATTGAAGATTGCCATATACCCTGATAAATAACTCTCATTTCACTCATACCATTGACTTACTTGGCTTGTCAAGATAGCCATATTCTAAAATGTTTTTGCACTGATGAAAAAGTGATCTTTCCCTGATGAAAGCGCTGAACAACTGTCCTCTGACTATAGATGTCATTAGAGTAAGGGATACTGAAGAGAAACAATTGACATTTATGTAGTGCTTTGTGGTTTACAGAAGGCTACCCTGTGTCTCCTCATCTGAATCTTCACAACAGTCCTGTGATTAGGGAAATGAGATTTTTGCTGTTTGAAACAGATTAGCACTCAGATAGAGGTTAGGGTACCTGCCTTTGATCTTTCAACCAGCCACTGACCCATGAAAGATACCAGTCCAACTCACTCATTCTGCTACTCCACATTGCCTAGTTAACAGTTTTTAAATGCTAATTAAATTAGATCTCTGTTCATACCTCGGTTTGTTTTTGAAAATAAAAGGATGGATAGCCATAATTAGAACCTTCAAAAACAGTTCCTACCTCAGAAATGTCACAGCTTGTGCATACTTGTTATCTTTAAAAAATTTGTTTACATTGAACTTTGGATTTTAAATTAGCAGGATAAATTACATAGGTGGTATAAATTATATGGCAGTAGTTTCCTAAGTCCTTTACCTTAGTACACAAAGCCTATTTGGTATTTGTTTAAATATGAGGATCTAGTAGAAAAGTGTAAAAGCAAAAGAAATGTTTTTAAAGAGAAAGCATAAAGTACAAAACAGAACACAGGTAATACTTTTAAAAAGGAAAGGTAAAGTTTTGAAAATAGAGAGACCCACCTGGTGTTCCTTGTCCAGGGGAGCAGGTGCAATTGGTTTCATTTAGGGTAAGTTTTTATTAAAGTGTCAACCAGCTGTTAGCACCGTTACTCTGCCACATGCCCTGCATTACATTTAAATCATCTTCAGTTCTCTTGGTAGTCTTCGTAGATGAAAGAGTGAGGTTCGCAGAGATGAGAGCCTGGTTCTGGTCACACTAGGGGTGAAGCGATTTCAGTTTCTGCTTTGATTCTGTGTTTAAAAAGTCAGAACTCCAGCCATGGCTTCTTTCCCTTCAGGGTGTACCATGCTGGTTCTTTGACTCCTTAGGTCTGCTCAGGGAAGAGGGGAGGTCTGTGGTCATGCTCCTGTCTGTTCTGGCACCCTGATTCTTGTCACACTGCTTACTGCCACTGAAAAGGCTACAGTTTTGTCAGCTGTCTTCTGCTCTAACCCTCAAGGATGCAGGCAGTGTGAAGACAGTTCTGTCTGTCTTATTCATCGAGTGTGCTCTGCTTTAGACAGTGCTTGTAATACCGTGGACAGTCCAGGTGTTAGGGGAAGATGGTTGGATGTCTTTGCTGAACAGAAATGTTTGCTGTCTAAGCTGTGAGCAAGGCTGTTGAGTTTCTGGCAAAGCCTGTTGGTTGGAGAAGACAGTTTTCAGGCTCCTGTCAATTTTGTTGTTGTTGTTGTTTTTAGTAGCTTTGCTCTTTCCTACTTGTCATATTTGTATAGTTTGTTTGCTTTTTTTCGTGGGACTCTGGTGTGCCAGCTTTTCTGTAGAAGTTACAATATTCGCCTCTCTATCACAATAATTTTCATGTTGTCTGAACTTCACAGATTTAGGGAGGCTTTCTGTAAGCACCTTATCTAAAGTAGTCTGTGCCTGTTTGTTGCCTCATATCCATTCATCCATTCACTTAGGCTTCTTTTTCTTTTTAGCGCTGTTATTTGATAATGTCATATGTATTATTTGTTTATGTATTGATAGTCCCCATTGTTATTTAAGACCTGTGAAAATAGGAACTTTCTACTATTCACCTCTCAGACCCTTGGTTCCTAGAACAGTGTCTGGGACACGAGACACAAATACTTACATAATAAAATGTGACTAAGTAGTATCTTGCTGTCACTTAACACCTGGGTCAGTGTCTGCATCTTGATCTTACCACTTCCTCAAGTAGGGAGGTGCTGTAGTTATTCTGGCCAGGTTGTTTGCTCCTTTCTAAGATGGGATTGGTAAAACCTTGCTCTTAGAATTAGGAAGGTTGAGCATGGGTACCTAACAGTAATTGATTTCTATTATTATGAAGTTCTCTGTTCCTGTTAAATTTTATATTGTGCTTTCTAGCATGGTACATTAAGCAAATATATGATTATTATATGAATCTTTTTTAATTCCTTTGGAAATTCCTAAAATACTTATCTGTTTTCCTTTGAGACTAAGTGCTTATTATAATTAAATATGAATACACAATATGTAAAACTTTTGAGAGAGTTAATTAATAGCATTAGCAAAGCTGGGAAAGCCTTGGGACAGAGAGTATAACTGAGTGTTACAACAGTTGCCTAGCAGCATGAGGCCAATACTATAAAAAAAATCTTAATTTCCAAAGTGCTCTTTTTATTCACAGATGTAGATATGAATTTGGTTCTGTACAAAGTAAGCTGCTAATTTCAAGGTTGGGGGATCCTGGAATCTATGGGGCTTAGTATGGGGAAGAATAATTGTAACACAAGCAGGCTTACAAGTGGTTGTAAGTTGTTGCATCGTTTAAATACTTGTGAAAAAAAGGACACTTGGGTGTTTATTTGTTACACAATTAGGCATTGAGTGAGGGTAAAATTTTAAGGTACTTCATATATTAAAAGTTTTCCCCAGAAATCCTTTATAAAATGTTTCTATTCATCCAAAATAATTGTACTTCCATCTCTTAATTAGGGAAATATGCAAACCGAAATACTTAAATAAGACCTCAGTACGTCCTGGCCTGAAGAACTGTGGGGATGTTAATTGTATTGGACGGATTCATACATACCTCGAGTTGATAGGAGCAATCAATTTTGGATGTGGTAAAAATAAAAACCCAACAACACCTTTTACTTGGCATTTTTTTTTATCCTTATAGCATTGATTAATTTTTATGGTGGTTCAAATTCAAGTAGATTTAAGTATATGAAATTCAGAGAAAGAGTGTAACATTATGAAATAAGTGTATCATTAAGATTTGATGTTAAACAGATTTCTGCTAATTAAACTGTTTCCCTATGAAAATTACAATTTTAAAGAAAAATATTTTATCTACATACTAGAAGTATTTTAACAAAGAGTTCTTTGTCAAGTAAAAGTAAATAATTTATGAGAAGTCTAAGAATAGCCTATTTAAAAAGATAGAAGCTGAGACCAGCATGGCTGTTAAAAAGCTTTAAATGTTGCGAGCATTTTTCTGCATATATTCCAAGATCCAACAAAATCTGAAAATTGAAGTGTTACTCACCTTATACTGTATTCCTGCTAGAGATGCTTTCTAGCAATGATTAAATAAAGGCAGTAACTTACGAACTTGTATGTTTAAATCTAATAAAAATACAAAAGTATTTTATCAAGACTGGTGAGGTACTCAGTGGCATTTGTCCCTAACTAAGCCTGAGACTTGAGTTTGATCACTGGGATCTATTTAGGAGAAACAGCTCCAACAAGTTGTCTTATGACTGCAACATGCACACACCTACACATGTGTACACACGCACACACATAATTTTTTAATTAGTGAAAATCTTTCAGTCTTGATTTTTTTTTATTCAAAGTTGATGAGAATGAATATGTCAAAATGAATCCTTCCTGATCACTGAAGTCACATGGCAGAGCTCTGAAAAAACTAATGGTGATGGGTTCAGGTAGTGATAAGGAACCAGAACTTTACCAGCCCTGGTTTTGGAGGTGAGCTAGAGAGCTAACCAGAATGCCTCTGACAGGTGATTTCATTTTTGTGTATTGAGAACGGACAGTCTGCCTGGGTTTACTCTTCCACATGTGTGCCACTGGGCCCCAAGCTCTGTGTAGAAATGAGCTGTTTGTGAAACTAAGTCATTCTGGCTGCAGCCACAGAGGTGACATAGTTTTCTGTATTAAACTGCCAAAGTCAACAAAGTAGGCTCAGCACTCATTTAACCAGATTACTTATTTCTTAATAATTAGTTTCATTGAGGTGCCATTTTATTTACAGCATTTTCATTTGAGAACTAAGTGGCACATCAAATGTACAATTGTGGGATAAGAATCATGGGAGTTCAGCTGTAGTCAGTATAGTATATCTTCCTGTTTAACAGATTTCACAGAATAATAGATTGTTTCATCTTTCCTGAATTCTAACAGAGCAGGCAATATATAACAGGCCACAGCCAGTTGATAAAGTACGAATGAGTGACAGAAAAGATGCAGAAGCAGCATACCAGCTTGTTTGGCGCCTACAGTCTATGGTAAGCTGCTGTTTTACTAAACAAATGACTATTGAGTGGAAGAACATGTTTTCTCTTGTGTTTCACCTTAGCCATTTAATTTTATGCTTTTCTATTGTGCATGAGACAAAAACAAACTATAAAACCCTTCAAGTTCAGGGTCAAAGTCCATAGAAATATCTATTATTTAATTAGTGAATAGGCCTTGGGTACTTGGTTTTGATTTGTAAACCTAACATGTTGTGTGTTAGAGAGATGGCTCAATGATGAAGAGCATATGTTGCTCTTGCAGAGGACCCGAGTTCAGTTCCCATCATGCACATCATGCAGACCACAAGCGTTTGTAACTCCAGTTCCAGAAGATCTGACACCCTCTACTGGCCTCCTGGTCATCTAGCATGCATGTAGCGCATATACTCATAAACATTAAGAAAACAAACACAGCAACACACACACACCATCTGAGTGTGGTGGCACACACATTTAACCTCAGCATTGAGAAGGTAGAAGCAGGCAGATCTCAGTGAGTTGAAAGCCAGCCTGGTCTCCACAGTGAGACCCTGTCTCAAATACAAAACACCAGTTATTCAGTAAGTGTCCTATAAGGCAAAATATAATAAGATCTCATTAGTTTCACATTAAATTGGTGACAGGTAAAATAATTCTCAGACTATTTTGTTTGTGAACAATTTTTACCTGAATTTTCTGTCTTAAGAAAGGCTGTTTTCAAGTGTCTCTTTGGTGATCATACAAGTCACACACCTCTTTTTGGCAGCTGGTCCATTTAAAAAACCTCATATACAATGTTTGCAAAACTAGTTGAGTCATAGTGTTCATACATTTTATAGTTTCCTGCTGTTTGAATTAACTTGGCGGTGGCCTTTCTAAACCTGGGATAATCATTGCTTCTATTTTCACTATACCTTTTGATGTATGTTCTTTTCTACCACAGATAATTGGAAGCAAATCATTTTCTTGGTGTGTCTTTAAGTCTTAACAGTATTTTATCTTGGTATTTTAGCTCCTAAATGGCAATGGAAAGGAAAATAAAGATGAAGTCAAATAAAATGCAGAAAGTCATCAGTGCCATGTTTTTCTAAAGTGGCTCCTTGATGCCGCCACCTCGTTCCTACCTAGCTACTGTTTTTAGTGCTCACAAGAAGTCAGTTGAGGGTCAGGCATTGGTGACGCACTCAGGAGGCAGAGGCAGGCAGATTTCTGGGAGTTCGAGGCCAGCCTGGTCTACAGAGCGAGTGCCAGGACCCTGTCTCAAAAAACAAAATAAAAATTAAAACAAAAAAGAAGTCAGTTGAATGTCTCTAAGCAGTCTAAGCAGAGAACTGACTGTTGCACATGATCAATAGAATACAGCTTAGGGAGTTGATATATGTAATAATAGAGTTTTAGAGAGTGTCTAAGTTTTATGTGTTCGTGTGTTAAAGATTTTGCCAGGTTAATTTTGTGACATTTTGCCTTTATTTGTTTTCTTAATATAGCGTACAAGGAGACGTAGGGTCCGAGACCCATGGGGAAACTGGTGCGATGCAAAAGACTTAGAAGGGCAAACATTTGAGGTAATTTTACCTTATTTGTGACTTATCCTTGAAAACTTGCCTCATTACTTTAATTCCTACCTTACACTAATTTCATTGTTGAAGTACGTGTTCTTGTTCCCATGTTAATTAGTTTATTGAAAAGTTACCATTAACCACACCAAAGGTACCAGTGGTACAGTTACCTAGGAGTCTGATTTGCACCCAGAACTTTGATTCTCTATCTCCACAACATTGTCTCTAAATCAAGAATAAGAGGCAGACTTAGCAGTTGGTATTCCCTATCCATTTCATTAAATGATATTCCTTTGAGTGATGTTTGTTACCAGTTAAATCATTCTAAACATTAGGCATATTGAATTGTAAATATTGAAATGTTATTTCCACTAATAGAAAGGAAACATAGGCAACAAGTACTGTACAAATATACATATATGTACAAGTGTTCACATATAGTTTGTAGAAATTAGAGCAGTAGAGTGGAAAGAAGGTATAAACATACATTTACTAGCTTTGTTATCTCAAGTAGATACTTAACTGTACTAAATCTCAAATTTTAATTTATGAAGTATGGACAATAGTTCCTTGAAAGGATTTTAAAAGAATGAGATGAAGTATATTAAGGTCCTGGTACTAGTCATTCAGTAAGCCCACTTGCACAAGCTACTCAATAAATGTTACCTTTCTCATGCCCCTCCCCCCATCCTGTCCCTAACCTTACACCTAGTACTCTTGTTGGCATATTAATAAGTAATACATGGTTCCTTCCCATAAGGTTGGTCTAAGGATATGAGGTACTCCCAAAGAGTGTGATGAGGAAAGAGTTTGAACCAAAGGATCAGGAGAAGAATCATCTCAAAATGTAGATGGAAGCATTCTAGGCTGAGGGAGTTGCACAAGCAAAGGTACAGATACAGGAAAATATTAATATTCTGGGAAAGGTGCATAGTCTGTTTAATTAGAGTGTAGGGGTGGTAGTAGAAATCGCTAGGTTATGGACATTAATGTTTGACTTTACAGCATGCTTTGACACTGTTATTGCTGCTGTTACTTGTTCTGTGAAGATGATGACTCTAAGTGTGGAAGCTGCAGAGCTCAGCAATGGCCTCTCAGCTGATACATTTTTGCTCCAGAATTGTATGTTGAGGCATCCCACTCCCATGGTGCCAGAGATGAAACCAGGACCTCATGCATGCTAGACAGATTACTACTTTACCACCAAACTACTGCCTCAGCCATTGGAATCAGCATTCTTGATCACTACACGGTGGTGTTGTAAGTTATAAAAGAAAATTCAGCCACCTGAGCACTGAAAACTAGAAATGAGAAATAAAGACTTGGAGGTGTTTGAAACTTAATGACTCATACCTTTGAAATGGACAAGTCAGAAGAAGAAATATATTTTCATTTTGATAAGGCTATATATTTTTGACATAATTTTAACCTATTGCCCAGTATTTACTAGTAACAAGGAAACAATGTATACTGACTTAGTCATTCTTATTCTCATATGTCCTTAACTGTTTTATTTCTTGTACTTGAGTAGCTGATGAACTCTTTGATTGGCTGTTTTGCTTTAGCATCTGTCTGCAGAGGAATTGGCAAAAAGAAGAGAAGAGGAAAAGTGTAAACCTATTAAATCTTCAAAAGTTTCAAAATTAACAAAAAGGTACAGTATTTTCTTAACTTACGACACACAGAAAACATGAAAATAGCTCCGTTAGATATGTTGTATAATATAAACGAGGTAAAAAAGCTTCCTCTGTGTGTGTTTTGTGTGTGTGTGTATGTGTAGTGATGAAGTCTTTCTTAGTATTTTCTTGGTTTGCACATGCTTTTGTATCTGGCCTTACTTAGATTCCCTTCTCCATCTCTGTTTTGAAATAATATTATAGGGCTTTCTGTTTGCTTTAATTGTTTCATAGACTTGTTAATTACTCCTTAGTTTAAAAAGTATTCAGTTATAGATCCCCATTGTAGTAGATCTATACTGACAGGTGTTGGTGTGCTTGTGTTTATTTTGAGATTGGCCTAGAGCTCACTATGTAAACTGAGCTGGCCCCTGCTCCTGAGTGGGATTAAAGGCATACATTGCAGCACTTAGCCTGACAAGCTGTTTTGAGAAACTCCTCACTTGAATTTCTGTCAGGTCCCATGCCAGGGTAATAGTTGTTTCTCTAAACTGTTGATCTCCTTTCAGTTGAAGAGTTGTATCTGCATACCAGCTCCTTCAGGTTAAGCCAAAATAAAACAGTAAAGCTACTTTGTCCAGACTTCCCGTTTTCTGTCAGATCTAGAAGAACGTGTAGCTCCTTCTAAGGGATTCTCCTGCTCTAATGTTTTTTCATACAGGAAAAAGTTTGGGTTTATATTATTGCATATATATATATATATATATATATATATATATATATATATATATATATAATTTAACTTTAACTTTTTACACAGATTCCACCTCCCTTCCCCTCCCCAGGGAGGGATTTTCAGAGTCTGTCATATAATAATGGGCAGGGCCTAGGTCCTCCTCCATGTGTCCAGGCTGAGAGAGCATCCCTCCATGTGGAATGGGCTCCCAGAGTCCATTTGTGTGCCAGGAATAAATACTGATCTACTCTCCAAGGTGTCAAGATCAGTCCCATGCTGGTCTCTCGGTCATCAGTCTGGGGTCCATGCGTTCCCCCTTGTTTAGGTCAGCTGCCTCTGTGGGTTTCGCCAGCCTGGTCTTCATTCTTTGCACATCAGTCCTCTTTGCAATTGGGTTCCAGGAGTTCAGTTCGATTTTTAGCTGTGGGTGTCTGCCCCTGCTTCTGTCAGCCACTGGAGAGAGTTCTAGGATGGCATATAAGATAGTCATTAATCTCTTAGCAGGGGAGGGCATTTAAGGTAGCCTTAATGCCAGTTAGTGTCTTTTATGTAGATTTGTGAAGATCTCACCAGTGCCAGATCTCTCCTCCAACTTATAATGGCTCCCTCTATTACGGTATCTCTCATCCTTTTCTCCTCTATTCTTACCCTGGCTCAACCTTCCTGCTCTCCTCTGCCCTCCTCTCCACTCCTCTTCTCCCCCTCTCTTTCTCCCATCTCTCTTCCCCCTCCCGCCATGCTCCCAATTTGCTCAGGAGATCCTGTCCCTTTCCCCTTCTTCGGGGGACCATGTATGTCTCTCTTAAGGTCCTCCATGTTTCCTAGCTTCTCTGGCGGTGGGATTATAAACTGGCAATCCCCTGATGCTCCATGTCTAAAATCCATATATGAGTGAGTACATACCATGTTTGTCTTTTTGTGGCTGGGTTACCTCACTCAGGATGGTTTTCTCTAATGCCATCCATTTTTGCCTGCGAATTTCCATTTTTTTTTTCCTGCTGAGTAGTACTCCATTGTGTAGATGTACCACATTTTCTCTATCCACTCTTCATTTGAGGGCCATCTAGATTGCTTCCAGGTTCTGGCTATTACAAATAATGCTGCTATAGTGAGAGTGGAGTGTTGAAGTCTCCCACTATAAGTGTGTGGGGTTTGATGTGTGATTTGAGTTGTAGTAATGTTTCTTTTATGAATGTGGGTGCCTTTATATTTGGGGCATATATGTTAAGAATTGAGACTTCTTCCTGATGGATTTTTCCTATGGTGAATATTAAATGACCTTCTTCATCTCTTTTGATTAATTTTAGTTTGAAGTCTATTTTGTTAGACAGTAGGATAGCTACACCTGCTTGCTTCTTATGTCCATTTGATTGGAAAGTCTTTTCCCAGCCCTTAACCTCGAAATAGTGTCTGTCTTTGAAATTGAGGTGTGTTTCTTGTATGCAGCAGAAGAATGGATTCTCTCTTCTTATCCATTCTGTTAGCCTGTGTCTTTTTATCAATGAGTTAAGACCATTGATTTTCAGGGATATCAATGACCATCAATTGTTGATTCTTGTTTGCTTTGGATCCGTTTTTGGTGGTGGTACTGTGTGTGATTTTTTTTTTTTTTACCCTATCTCTGACTCCTGGTAAAGTAAGATTATCTATTGCCCATGTTATTTTGAATGTAGTTAACTTCCTTGGGTTGGAGTTTTCCTTCTAGAACTTTCTGTAGGGCTGGATTTGGGGATACATATTATATAAATCTGGTTTTGTCATGGAATATCTTGTTTTCTCCATCGATAGTGATTGAGAGTTTTGCTGGGAATAGTAGTCTGGGCTGGCGTCTGTGGTCTCTTAGTGTTTGTAGAATATCTGTCCAGTACCTTCTGGCTTTCATAGTTTCCATGGAGAAGTCAGGTATAATTCTGATGGGTTTGCCTTTATATATTACTTGGCCTTTTTCCTTTGCTGCTCTTATTATTCATTTTTTTATTCTGTATGTTTGGTGTTTTGATTATTATGTGGCAAGGGGACTTTTTTTTTTTTTTTTTTTTTTGTCCAGTCTATTTGGTGTTCGGTAAGCTTCTTGTACTTTCAGAGGTATCTCCTTTAGGCTGGGAAAGTTTTCTGCACCATTGAACTAGGCTTTTTTGCTTCTTCTAAACCTATTATTATTATCACATCTGGTTTTTTCATGGTGTCCCATATTTCCTGGATATTTTGTGTTAAGGATTTGTTGGATTTAAGACTTTCTTTTGTCAATGAATCTATTTCCTCTAGTTTATCTTCAGTGCATGAGATTCTGTCCTCCATCTCTTGTATTCTGTTAGTTATGCTTGCATCTATAGTTCCTGATTGTTTATTCAGCTTTTCGATTTCCAGCATTACCTCAGTTTGTGTTTTCTTTATTGTCTCCATTACAGTTTTCAGGTCTTGAATTATTTGAATTGCTTCCTTCATCTGTTTGATTGGTTTTTCTTTGCTTTCTTTTAGAGATTTATTGATTTCTTGCATTTTTTTGGTTTTTTTTTCTATTTCTTTAAGGGATTTTCTCATATCCTCTTTGAGGACTTCTATCACTTTCATGAGGTTGTTTTGAAGGGCATTCTTTTCTGTTTCATCTGTGTTGGGATGTCCAGGTCTTGCTGGTGTAGAGTGTCTAGACTCAGGTGGTGTCACACTGGTTCTTCTGTTGTTGGCTGTGTTTCTATATTGCTGTCTTCCCATCCCTTCTTTCAGTGGGAGCTCGTGGCATCTCTTCCTCTCCTGGTGTGTTTGGGTCTAAGGATCTCTTCCAGTGCATTCAAGCAGGTCTAATACTCAGATGGGTCTCATGATGGGTGCAGGTGGGTCTGAGAAACTCTCAAGCACAGGTGGAGACCGGAGGGGACTCAAGCACTGGGGAGGGGCTGGACGGCACTGAAGGCTGAGATGTGGCGGGACTCAGGGTGATCCTTTCCGGTGGGGTGGGTCCTCTCTAGGTGCAGGGCATGCCCAGGGAGATGGAAGCAGGGAGATGTTGGGAGTTGAGGCCCAGAGTAGAACCCTGAATCACCTCAAGCACAGGGCAGGGACTGGAGGGGCCTCTATTGCTAATTTTTCAAATTAGTAATTTTCTTTTCTTTTTCAGCTCACTTGATCCCTTCCAACTGATACCTTGTAATTTTTTCAGTGAAGAAAAGCAGGTACTTGTTATCAATGAGTAGTCACCAATAATGCCCCATCTGACAGGAAACACTTACTCTTTACCTATGTGTGTGGGGCATGTGTATTGGACATGACAGGGTATAGTTAGGATTGGGTGAACAGTTCAGGCAGGAAATGAGAGGGAAGAGCAGTTTCCTGCTGGGCCTTTGAAGCTTAGTTGTTTTTAAGTCCATTTTGTACTAACTTTGACTAATGATGAGAAGTTGGTGGGTTGGGTAAGGAGAAAGGGGTGGATATTCCAACTGGGGAGAACAAAAGTCTCAGTTTTTATTCTGTCCTTTTCTGTTTCAGGAGCCATTTCAGGTGAAAGTAGCTTCAGAAGCGCTTTTAATAATGGATTTGGTAAGGGTAGCCTATTGTATCTTACTTAGTTATTCTGGTTTCTGTTCTTCTATTTCCTTAATTCATTTCTTGTAGACGTAAGACAAAGTGGAAGATTTATATTTCAGATTTTAACTGTTTTCTTTGTAAGGAATTAATTTCTTTTGAAGGAAGCCAGACAGGTGTATGTTTTCATATTTTAGAAAAGACAAATTTATGTGAATTTTGCAGATCATCTACCGTCATTAACCTCTTACCATTTTCTACCACCCCGTGTCTGCTGCATGGTAGATGACTGACCCTCCACCGCATTGAAATGCAGGGTCTCCCTGTGTGTACTCACTGCCTCCAGACCCTCTAACAGTTTGTGTGTGAGGGCGTTTCCTGCAAAAGGCTCTAAAGTGACTCACTCTGTGCCCTTTGAATGCAAATGATATGTTCTTTTAAGAGAACAGGTTTCGTCTTCTGCTGTGTGCTTCAGAGGTCCATAGGCAGCAGGAAGGGACTGAGCCCAGTGCCCGCTCCCTGCTGTCCGCCAGTGCCCTGCTGGGCCTCGCAGCACTCTTGTGTGATTCTTTGTTGATTGCCGTGTGGATTTGGCCTGAGTCTGTCCTCTCTCCTGTAGCATGCTCATGTGTCGATGGCAGAAGTGATTGGGCTATTAGGAGGAAGATACTCAGAGTCTGAGAAGACTCTTGAAGTAAGTCTTTTTTTTTCAAACATTTTAGTTACCAAGTCTTGCTGTCATATATTTTGGAATTCAGAAAGTATAATTGAAATACTGATTTTATCTGCATGTGTCAGAGTATACAAGTATAGAAATGTATTCAGAAGTGAGTTAGCATTGCATTAACTGGGCATCTGTTTACTCTTAAGAGGGAGAGGATCTGCCAGCCTTGGCTGCCCGCTACCATCCCCAGTGAAAAGCTACAACTAAGAGCAGTAATGTATTCTAGTGCTTGTGGGTAAATGCTGCCTGCCATACATAATTTGACTAAAATTACTTTCATATGTAATAGGAATTGTTGAAAATGTTTTTGGGTAGGTGTTAAGGAGTTCGTAGCCTATAGTCACACTTGGAGTTTATTTGACAAGTAATAGAATTGACAGGATTCCTCTGTAATCAGGTTTGTACAATCCTTTACAGGTCTGTGCAGCAGAACCATGTAACAGTCTGAGTACAGGACTGCAGTGTGAGATGGATCCTGTATCACAGACGCAGGCCTCAGAAACCTTGGCTCTTAGAGGCTACAGTGTTATTGGGTGGTACCATTCTCATCCTGCGTTTGATCCTAATCCATCTTTACGAGATATTGACACACAAGCCAAATACCAGGTGCGTTTATAGTGTTATGTGCCTACAATTTGTAAAGAATTATATATCCTCCTGTTTGTTTCTGTGAAATTAAACATCTGTCTTTTTTAGCTTTACACTAACATTCTTTACATCTGCAGTTCTGAAATAACTTGCTTTTTTCCCCAGTTACATCAGTAAGCATTTGGAAGGTCAGCAGTTGAGTATAGACAGGTTTTGGGTTTTTGTTTTTGATTTTTCTTTTTTCTTCTTTCTTTCTTTTCTTTTTTTTTTTTTTTTTTGTTTGTTTGTTTGTTTGTTTTGTTTAAGAGCCCTTAAAACCTGACAGGAAGTAGAACAAGACTCATTACAATTACAGTAGTTGAAAACGTTGATTTATCTCTTTGTAAAAACAAGTTGTATTTTTACTCACGGTTACATTTGATGTGTATTTTCTATGTTAATAGCTATTTGTAAGTTTTTGTCATGTTAATAAGAATTACAATCAAATGATTTGACATTACAATATGTAAACACAATTGTTTGTGGTATGTATTTTGTTTTGTTTGACGAAGACTCTTATTCTGTGGGCCCAGCCTGGCCTAGAACTTGTGCTAATTTTCCATTCTCCTGTCTCAGCCTCTTGAGTACTGAGATGAATGTGTATCACCACACCTAACTAATATATGTGGCATTTCTGTTGTCTTTTTCTTTAATTTTGTATGTATGTATGTTTGTGAGGAGAGGTGCACACTCCTATGTGTTTGCACATGAACCAGAGAAGAACATTGGGTGTCCTGTTCTGTCCCTTTCCATTTTATTCTGTTGCCATGGGATTTCTCACTGAAACTGTAGCTAGGCCAGGGTAGCCAGCTAGTACCCTCCTGTGCTGCCTTCCCATGCCCTTCCTCAGTACTAAGATTGCATGCTACAGGTGCAAATAACTCATTGCCACAGGCTTATTATGTGGGTTCTGGATAGGTGAAACCTGATCCTCCTGCTTGCGTACTTAGTATGCTCTCCCCAACCATGCTGTATGCATTTGTAAGGATCACTTCTGATGGAGGTAAACAGCTTGGGCCTGAAATGAGTATATAAGGCATTTCCTTCAGTTGCTGCTGTTTGGATAGGGCCCCTTTTTGTTTTCTTTTCTCCAATTAATTATCAATTACAACTTTGAGAGTTGAAATTAATTATACTTTTCTTTTCATTGCAGACTTACTTCTCTAGAGGAGGAGCAAAGTTCATTGGAATGATTGTTAGTCCATATAATCGAAGTAATCCTTTACCATATTCCCAGATTACCTGCTTGGTTATAAGTGAAGAAGTTAGCCCCGATGGTACCTACCGTAAGTTTCAGCAGTGATAGCTTCTTACTATCCCTATCCTCAAGTTAAAGAACTTATAATTGTGTAAAACTGTTTGATGAGAAAGTGTATCAGCTGAGGACTCATTACATGCCACCTAGCTAAACCACCCTGTTTCCTTTCATTCTAGTGTTACCATGGCCTTAGATAAAAGGATGAAATTGTGGAGAAACATTAGAGCAGGGCGTGTATCTGATGAGCACTGGAGACATTGTGTTGCACAGGCAGCGTACATGCTGAGCACTGTAAACATTGCATGCATAGAAGTGTGTATATACTGGGCACCAGAGACATAGTAGGACACAAAACACAGTTCTCAGAAAGATACTTTCATAAATGCAACCTTGCTTTCTCTGTTGTGGTATGCAAATAAAGAAGAAAAAAAAACACAACCCAGCTTTCCATTACCCCCTGGAGTATTAGGATTCCCAAAGACAGACAGACTTCAGATCTCCCAAATCCATCTGTCTCAAGAAAGAATTAGTTTGACATAGCCAACTATCCCAACTTGGGATGTGTGTCTTCTGTATGTCTCCTTGTGACTGTTCTGGTCATCTGTCTACATGGGAATTAATACAGCAGACTAAGAAAGGCAGGGAGGGGACTTTGTAAGCAAGTAGTTGGAGACTCAGATTTTTCTGGGTGTAATTCTGTGTGAACTACATTTGCAGTGGTCCCTTCTCTGTTGAATCATGAAATCTTTGGCACTACATACTGTAGTTTTCTATCTAGCTTCCAGCACGGAACCTGGCATAAAGTGGATTCTAAATGAATGTTTGCTTATTAATTAATTTCATCCTTCTTTGATGCCCTGTCATTGGTAAAATCTTCTCAGCATGGCTGACTATTAATTTATTTTTGTTTTAATAAATATGCAATACTTTTTCTGACTTATTGACCACTTTGACTTTTGAGACAATTTATTTACTGTTTTTGTATCCTTAGTAGCAACTAATGAGCACTGAATTTCTTTGAATGAATAATATCAGTAGTAGTTCATAAAGCCCTGCTGAGTACAGCATATAATACACATAATTCTTCAACTTAACTGTAATTTCTAAAAAGTTGTAACAGAAAGCATCATGATAAACTTGTCTTCACTTTAAGTCATTTCTCAGTTGTATGGATTTTGGTCATGAGCCTCTATTCCAATCAAATCTAATACAATTAGTTGATACTGGGTACATGTTACTGTTCTCATTTTAATTCATTAGAATTTAATAATTTAAAATTTATGTAATTCTTTTCTGGCCAAAATGAAGTAATAAAGGACTTTTTTGAAGCAACCAAAACACTAGGTAAAATATACAAAATAGTAGTATTTTATTTACGATATAACTTAGGATCTGAAGGAAGATGGTTGCTCAAAGATGGGAAACAAATCAGTTAAGCCCAATTTGCTATACCAGGAAGAGAGAAACCAGGTCCTGGCAAACTTGAGTGAAGGTGATGGACCTGAGGCAACTAAGTTACCAGAGAACAGTCTGCCATATTATTTCAAAGTGAACTCCAGAGACTGTAGAAGATACCCCCTCAAGTAGTTAGCAAAGTGTAGACAACACGTGTTTGTGAAGAAGCTAGCAGAGCCAGGAGACAGCCCCTGGGAAGAACTGCGTGCTGAACGCCTGGTAGATCTCCCAGCTTTTCTCAAGAGTGCCGCCTGCCGATGCAGCGTTGCCATGGGCTTGCTGGCTTGTGTCCTAGGAAAGTACCATGCCCTGTTTGCGGAGAACAGACCAGTTTGTTTCTGATACTGCCCTCTTCAGCCTACAAGATCTCTTCAATGATAAGTGAGGTGCCATCCTGCCTTTCACGGTGCTTTTCATAGAACTGTCAGAAAAGGAGATTGGAGAAATAGTTGATGAAAATGTCCTTCTTTACACTTCTCTAGGTTTACCTTACAAATTTGAAGTACAACAGATGTTAGAAGAACCTCAGTGGGAATTAGTATTTGAAAAGACAAGATGGATAATTGAAAAATACAGGTTTTCTCATAGGTATGTTTTGTGGTTTTGTGATGGCCCCAAATTTGCAGTCTTTCTCATCAAATTGAATCAGAGAAAGCAAAGCCTGGATTAAATATAGAATCCTAATGTCTGGCATCAATGACATTTTATTATACAACCAGTTGGGTATTTGTGTCATCGGCTTCTAAATTTCTTCCTACAGCAGTATCCCCATGGATAGAATCTTTCGCCGGGATTCAGACCTAACTTGTTTGCAGAAAGTAAGCTGCCTTCATTTTTAATTGGTTTTATTATTCAGATTCCAAAGCTAGTGTTCTTGGTGTGTTTTCTGCTGCTCTGTGAATACATTTTCTGTTTCCTTTATTGATTTACTTTGTAAAATTAATGTGTTCTATTGGCTAAGCTTATATGTAAAAATACTATTTTAGAATGCATTTACTGATATATTTCTTTGCAGGTTACCATTGTGTACAATAAAGAACCTTTGATCTTTAAAATTCATGAGTACCATGTTTCCCTTTTAATCATAACATTTGACCATTTTAAAAAATATGTAGTATAAGTCTAATTTAAGTTTAAGTAGTCATTTTTGCTCTAACATTGTACTTAGAAAGTAACGGTTTAAACACCCCCCCCCCACACACACACACACAGACACACATACACTTCTGGTTAAGATGAATAGAGTGTTTTAGTCATTTCTGAATATTCTGAAAAGTACACATACTAAGTTCTTTTTGCTACATTTTCCTATATACTATTGAAAGACTATTGTGTGCATCTCTAAGAAAACTGGCAATGACTATATACTTAGTTCTTTTTTTTGTCCCCCTGTCTGTCTCTCTTATTTGTGTGGTTTGGGGACTGGGATTCAATTTGAGTCACCAGGCACTGTGCTTCATCCATAGACCCACAGTTCTATGTGCCTCTTTGTTCTTGTTGTTTGTTTTTAAGTCGTTAGAGATGGCTCTGTAAATGTAACTCCTAAAGGGAGCAACAACCATGGATTTGTCCGAAGTAGAGAGCGTTGCTTGCACATGTGTGTTTCCTGTGGAATTGTAAAGGAGCTAACTTAACCTTCAATAGTGATTCCAGTGGTGAAGGCTAAGATTGTTGAGAAGGAACAGTGTTTCTCATTTGAGTATTACTGAGGTTTGAAAAGAAATTGTGACAGTTATGCAAACCCTCTTAATACTTAAATATAAATTTTTCCTTTCTACTAGCTTTTGGAGTGTCTAAGGAAAACACTAAGCAAAATAGCCAATTGCTTCATCGCTGAGGAATTCTTGACTCAAATAGAAAATTTGTTCCTTTCCGATTACAAAAGCAAGGAAGAAAATGGACTGGCCGAAGAAAACAGTACAAAGGAGTTGTTCATGTAATTATTTAAAAGTAAGACATTCTGTTCTAATCTTGGCATGCTGCTGTAAATAGAGAATTTAAAGAAATATAACGAGTAATTTTTTTCTTTTAAAGCATAAAATCCTAATCTTTTCCGCATACTAATGTGAAAAGGAAGAGAGAGAGGCTCGTTCTCATGCAGTGGTAATCAAGAGTGCCGGTCTGTATTAAGCAGCACAGTAGACTATGAAAGGTTGAACAGTGGTCGGCCTTACTGTATATCCAGCTTAATCAGTACACTGTCTAAGTCTTACTTCTGAAGTAGTCTTTTCTTTTTCATTTTGGCGTCTCATCTCACTAGAAAGACTTATTTTCTTTCCATATGTTCTGGTAGTGATATAAATATATATAGTTATATAAATTAACTCATTTTATATATGTATATACATATATATGTATATACATATATAAAATGAGTTAATAGGTTGAGAAGTACTGACTAAGATATCTAACACCATGCTGTCAAGTGCCAACATGGGCAAAAGGAGAGTATCCTTAAACATCCAGACAAGAAAACAAAGGGGAGAATAACCAGTTTTCAGTCCCATGTATTTGCTTCAATTTTAGTGTGTAACTCTGTACAACTAGTCAGCATTCTCAGTGATTTCAGTATTTTAGATGGATTTCACAAGTGAAATAGCTCTGCCTGATTACAGTAGTGTGAAAAATGTCATTGAACTGGACCTGGTAATGTAACCCTCCACCTAGCTTTTTTCACTACTGTCAGGGGAAAGAGACAACAATAAAACTAAAATCAGATGTTGAAGTTTTAGAAACAAAGAGATACTGTGTAGTATCTTACATATTTAACCCAGTTTGTACCTCCTGAATAAGAAACGAAAACTAATAAGCTTTTCCATGGAAAGGATCAGTTAGTGACTTTCTGTTAGCTGGAGACCTGGTGTTTGCCCATCATCAAGGCCTTCTTAATGCTAACAGTTTTGTTACCTTGAAACTGAGTTCAAGTTTAGAATTTTCCTTTTCTGTCGTTTTCTTTTTGTTTTTTTAGGTATATTTATTATGTATATAGTGTTCTGTCTGCATACCAAAAGGGGGCACTAGATCTCATTATTGAGTGTTATGAGTTACCATGGAGTTGCTGGGAATTGAACTCAGGACCTTGGTAGAACAGCCGGTGCTCTTAACATCTGAGCCATCTCTCCAGCCCTCCTTTTCTGTTGTTGTTGCAGTTGTAACCAGAAAAAGAGGGCAGCACTGGCTGGAGTTGCCTCAAAGTCTAAAGTGGCCTGAATCTGATTTGAAGAAACAGAGTTTGCTGTCTCTACGCTAAGGTCCCAGTGTACAACTCGGGCTAATCTAACCTTCCAGTCTTATTCCAGCTCTGATTTTACCTGGTTTTTTTTTTGTTTGTTTGTTTGTTTGTTTGTTTTTTTTAGGTTGCTTCTTTGGAACTTCATTTTAAGATTGTACAGTTCACAAATTAATGTGTACTTTTAAAAGAAAACTAGTAGTTTTTCCATTTCCCTGTGTACATTTCGTACAATTGTAAAATTCCCTTGAAGTCTGGAAGTATAAGAACTCCAAAGCAAAAAAATCAGGAATCCTGAGCTCTCAAGCTAATTTGTGTCCACTTTGGTATATGACCTTGATCTAGTCACATGTCTAAAATGTAGGCTCTTCAGTTGAAATTCAGAGAGCTGAATACTGTAGCTCTGTCTCTTCAGCACAGAAGACTACTAAAGTCAATAGCATTCATTCTTTGTGTTTTCTTCCTCCTCACCTGTCTTCATAGGCGTTGGAACAGGCCGAGAAGTGGACGCTGATTACCTTTCTTGATGGGTGTTTCCCTAGAATGTTGCTGAGTTGCCAAAACTTCTTTGTCAAATTTGGGTTTTTCGCATGCCCATGCTTAATCATATTCACTATCCTGGGCTACCTTGTAAGGACTTAAAAGATGGCAGCAGTCAGAGTGCAGGGCCTTGAGAACACAAGTTTTGTTTTTGGTTTTTTATTACAATTACTTTTTAATTTATTAATTTTTAATTTCATGTGCACTCATTTTCCTACATGTATGTCTGTGTGAATGTGTCAGATCACCCGTAACTGGAGTTACAGGCAGTTATAAACTGCTATATGGGTGCTGGGAGTTGAACCCATGTCCTCTGGAAGAGCAGCCAGTGCTCATAACCACTGAGCCATCTCTCCAGCTCAAGAACACAAGTTTTTAAGCAACTACTGAAAGTCTATTTTTCTGACTATACATTTATAATGTATCTTATGAAATATTTTTAAATACAAAGAAGTATGTACAAAGTGTGGATATCTCAAACCTACTGTTCAGAGAATGCTTCACACAAGAATCTTTTACCATTGTGTTTTGGGAGTTTTGTTTGTTTTTGTTTTTTGTCTTTTTGTTCTTTTGTTTTTGGTTGTTTTTCAAGACAGGGTTTCTCTGTGTAGCCCTGGTATCCTGGAACTCACTATGTAGACCAGGGTGACCTTGTACTGGGTCAAGCCTTCCTAGTACTGGGATTAAAGGCATGCACTACCATACCTGGCTTTCTTTACCAGTTTTTAACAGCACAAATTTAGAACATTCAGATTTATCATTTGTCTCCTGTTGCTTCTTATCTGTTCTCCATGCTGCTTTTCTTTCGTCATAGTGTCTACGTGCTTTGGCAACTGCAGATGGCCCCAATGCTGACCTTGCCAACCTTGGCTTAGAGCCAAGGCCTTAAAGAAGCACAGATGAGTCTGGAACCAAGGGGCAGGCTCCTAAAGAACAGTGTTTGCAGAAGTGGAGGACCGCAGACACCTGAGACCCGTCAGCCCTGTCCTTTTGGAGGACATAACTGTAAAATAATGATCTTAAATTTGTTTCTTGTTCTGACTTGGGTAAGTTAAACTAATAATAGCACTTCTCCTTCAAAAATAAAACTCAAGAAAACAAAATCAGTGAAACAAGACCAGCAAGGTAAAATTCCTTGGCCATCATTTACCCTCGAACCCTTCTTCTCCAGTCCTTTTTAGTGGCCTGAAGCTCCCATTTCTAGAGTTGGTTTGACCCTGTGCCCACAGCTCATGAGGTTTTTAGGCCCCAAGCACTTTGGCCCACTTGGGCCCCTTCCATACAAAATTTAAATGTATGTTTAATAATTGTGTTTGTATAAAATGACAGTATTCATATTTTGGATTAAAATATTCCTTTAATCTAAAACTTGGATTATTTTTACTAATAAAATTAAGTAAAATGCTAGTTACGTGCCCTGGGAGTCTGAGACACTGTACCCAATGGATGGTCTGCCCTGCAGTTAGTGTTCTCTGTCCCCTTCCCACCACCTCTAGGTTATCTGTTGTCACTCTACCCTGTACCACTGCGGTTCCCATGGTCACAGCCTATACATCTGAACTTCATTCTTTCCTGTCCTACCAGAACTCAGGGTATTGCTTAGCACCATTCATTTTTGGGAGAGAGACAGAGACTGGGGGGGGGGGGCGGGGGTTGGGGGAAGTAGTTAGAAGTCCGCAGACAGATGTTTTTATTTGGGTTCCTACTTTCACAGCTTGTGTCACACCTCCCTTTTATTCATTCAACCTCACAGCTCATAGGTTTATACCTGTATATCACTTTATATAGGCATAAGGTGAAAGTGATAAACAGACCCATTGAGATTTCCCTGCCGTGGTTTGGTACTGGCCCAGGCTTCTCCACAGAATGTTCCTCCTCCCATGCTGAGGGGTGGGTGAGGTCTGTGGCATGCAGGACTGCAAGCATTCAGCCTCTTCAGTTCTCAGGACAAAGAAAACAGCACCCTCAGCATGCCAGCCCAAGCTGTCCTGCTTTTTAGATTACCTTTCCCATATATATTTCTGGGTTTGAGTGTGATGGGGAAGCTGATAGAACCAGGATGTCCAAGAGAGTTGTTCCGTTCTGTGCCAGCAGAAGCCACCTAGTTGACCTCCTGCTTGTACCACAGACTTGTAAGTCACCAGCAGACACCCATATGGGTTTCTTGTCAGTAGTAGAGCTGGTCACCCAAATTCTCTCTTTTCTTGTCTTTACCACCAAGACACTTCATCTGGTGGGTATCACAGGGTGTGGCATGAAGGAAGAGTACGTTCACAGAAGCACAAAGAAAAGCACACATTTTGGTAAACATGCACTCTATCAGCATTAACAAATTTAACAAAGAAATGTGATCTGCATCTCTACTTTCTTATTCTTTAACAATGCTCTTATGACTTAACATATTTTGTAGTATGCCCAAAAAGATGAGAAAAATGTGCTGTACTTAGATTATTATTTCCTGCCCTTTTCTGAGAACATTTTATATGCGCTTTTGTTTCCTGTAATTTTGCTTTCTGGTATTTCTTCTAAGGTACCTCATTTCCTTATTGCCCCCACTAAATCACAAGAAAATAAAAGCATCCTAGAGAAATTTTAAGGGTTTTAAGGGAAACTAAACTCTAAAGGTTAAATTAACTCACAGCACCCTGGTGACTTTTATTTTCTTTCTTTGGTGTTTCTGTTATATACTCTGTTATGTTTCGGTTATATACTCATGAGTCCCAGGGAAAAGGCCTGGTTTGTTTTCTCTGAGGTTTCCCAGTATCTTTCTAGGAATTCACAGTTCAAATTCCTGTTTCATATATTATCATAAAATTGCACCCTGTATGGTGGCGCACACCTTTAATCCCAGAACTCCAAAACTGAGGTAGATGGATCTCTGAGTTTGAGGCCAGCTTGGTCTACAGAGTGAGTTCCAAGAACAGGACTACAAAGTAAGCCCCTATCTTTAAAACAAAACAAAATGAAGAGAAAAATGCCTGCATTAGCATATGAGTTCTAAAATTGTAGTTAGATTTTAGCATGCTTTGTGTGGATAAGTCATCTGCCTTTAAAAGTGTAGATTAGAATTGACTTGCACAGTTATGTTGTATATAAGATATTGTATGACAGTTTATTAACTTGTTGCTGATTTCCTACAGTATTAGCAGGTTTTTTTGTGAATTTTTTCACTAGTTTGCATTTTCAGTGTTCTATACCAATATGATGATGTAAAACTATTTTGTATATTTAGATGTTATGCTACATTGTATATATTTATATTAAGAATATTGTAAATATCAGTGTTTGTAGAATTATGAAAGGTTTTCTTCAAAATATAAATTCATCTTGTAACATATTAAAAATACCCAATTTTAAGCTTTGACATATTACCTTACAATGAAAACTAAGGAGAAACATGCTACCAAGTCAATGTAAGTAAAAATTTGAAAATAAAACAGGTGGGTTTTGGTGTCTTAGTAAATTGTTAGCAATATATATATTGAATTACAAAAAGAAGGTATTGTCTTAGTTACCTTTCCATTGCTGTGACAAAAAACCATGACCAAGGCAACTTACAAAAGACAGCATTTAATTTGGGGTTCACACTACTAGAGTGTTCTAGAAGGACCTTGACCATCATGTTAGGGAGTATGGAAGCAGGCCTGGCATTGGAGGCTGAGAGCTGAGAACTTAGATATTTTTATCCACAAAGAGAAGACAGAGAGAGAGCTAACTGGGAATGGCACAGGCTTTGGAAACCTCAAAGCCTGCTCCTCAGTGTCACTTCCTCCAACAAAGTCACATCTAAGCCTTCCCAGACAGTTCCACCAATGGAGATGAGGTATTCAATTATATGAACCTGTGGGGGCCATTCAAGAACATTGAAACACCACAGCCACATAGTTCATCCAGGGTTTGTTGAGTATCTCCTACACTGTGCACAGCCAGAGACAAAGTTCAGTAAATCTCACCTTCTTTCTGTGAGAACCCGGTCACCTGATTAACGGGAAAATATAAAGCAAATTGCAATTGGTTATAAAACACCTAGATAAGTTCCAGGTAGAGGGTGGTGGTGAGAAGTCTCAGGACCGGGAGTGTGAGATCAGTGCCTTTGGTAGAAATATCTGGCAGGATTTGATTATGTGATCTTTAGGAAAAGATAGTGCAGATAGAAGTGGCCTTAGCATAGCTGTGGAGGTAACAAAACCTTAAAATATTTTGATCAAAGAGTAGCGCATATGAAGATGGCAATTATGAAAGAGACATGCAACTTTGAAGTTACAGAAGATTAGAAGCCAGTGAGAGAGTAGGAAAAGGCATCTGATGATAACATGAACTCTGTTCCCAAGAGCCACATAGTGGAAAGACCATCTGCAGGCTGCCCTCTGACCTCCATACCCTATACCATGTCAACTGCTGATACACATGCACACAAAATACCTTTGAAAATGTTTTGAGTAAGTAGAAAGCGAAAATCTCATCTTAAAAATCAAGATAGTGGTTTAACTGATTTTAAACTTTCCAGTTTTTTCCTCCTAGCATGTAAGAAATTATACATTTTATATAAGGAAAGATAATAGATTTAATTTCTAAATTATCATTAAAAACACCAGCTTGGGATGAAACTCAGTGGTAGCTTGCAAGGAATGTGAGATCCTGTAAGATCTGTCCTTTCTTTATGTAGGAGCCTGGCATTCCATGCTGTCATTTGTCCTCTGGATCTGGTAGTGTACAATACAGAATCCGATAGTCCCCATGTCTGCTACACCTGTGTAGTAGGTTAAACTATGTTGTTTAACCTCCTATGACTACTTGCTAGAGAAGTTTCTAGTAGTGCTAGGCTGAGACCTACATCCATTTAAAATTTTTTAGTATCTTGGAGGAATTTTTATCTTTTATAGTAATTTAAAGTCAAGTAAGTGCCCAAGTGAAGTAATGATTTATTTACAAGATATAATGAAATTCTGAGTTTTAATTCCATAATGCATTTATTTCATTGGAAGTTCATTCCTCCATATAGTTGTTAGGGATTCCTGCTAATTACGCCATTGCTTTAACTTTGATTGCGGCCATGGCTTTGGAGGCCAGTATTGTGTCAGTCCTATTTGTGTTTTGCATCACTGAACCTGAAGTTTATCTTCCCGCAGAATGCTAGTTTAAACACGGGTTTACACCATCTATACATTCGCTCAGAATCTCAAATTTTCAGAAAGATGTAATAAAATAGAATGCCTGTTGTTGGCTTTTTTTTTTTCTATGTTTTTCCTGTTACACTGCAGGGCATATTAGGGCATAAAGGATTTAGTGGGTATGGGGTTGGGGTTATAGGGGAGGGTACTGTAGCTGGTGAGTTAACCAAAACCAAGGATATTTGTAAACAACCTTGTGGAAACCCACTAGTTAGCTATTCTCAAAATTCAGGTTTAGAAAAGGGAATTTGAACAGGATTACCCTGCATCAATAAGACAGTGTCACTCCCAGAAGACATGGGTTATTAAAGTAAAATTGTAGTATGAGGCCTGGGATGGAACCCTGTGAATTAATTGATCAGGAAGGTCCTAGAAGTCTCCAAAACAGTACAGTTTGTTGCCATTGCCATTGGTCGCTGTGCTGGCTATTCTTTTTTTTTTTTAATTTAAAATATTTTATTACATAAAACTTGCTTAGTTTTAAATTATGGTTACATATATATACATATATATATATATATAATTTTCAAATTAGAAACAAGGTTGCTTCACATGTCAATTCCAGGTCCCTCTCCGTTTCCCTCCCCTCCTCCCATGCCCTCCCACCAATCCCACCAATATCCCCTCATTTCTCCAGGGAGGGTGAGTCCCTCCATGGGGGTGTCCATAGTCTATCATTTCATCCAGGGCTTAGACCCTCCCCCAAGAGTCCAAGATAAGAGTGCATCTCTCATTGTTGGATGGGAGCCCAAAGTCCATTTGTATACCCGGGATAAATACTGATCTACTACCCAAGGCTCAATAGGTTACCTAGGCCTCCTCACTGACACCCACATTCAGGGGGTCTTGATCAGTCCCATGCTGGATTCCCAGGCATCAGTCTGGGATTCAAGAGCTAACCCTTGTCAGGTCAGCTGTATCTGGGGGTTAAACCAGTCCAGTCTTAAGCCTTTGGTCATCAGTCCTCCCTCTCTGTCACTGGATTTCTTGAGTTCAGCTCAGTGCTTAGCCGTGGGAGTCTGCCTCTGCTTCCATCAGCCACTGAATGAAGGTTCTGTTTCCCAGAATCTCTGGCCATGGGATTGTAGGCTGGCACTCCCCAGATCTATGTCTAAAATCCATATATGAGAGAGTACATGGCATGTTTCTCTTTTTGTGACTGGGTCACCTCACTCAGGATGGTTTTTTCTAGTGCCATCCATTTGCCTGCAAATCTCAGGATTCCATTGTTTTTTT